TATCGAAGATTTTACTGCGACCAGTGAGACAACAGACTAAAAAGAACGCATGGTTATCTCGTCCACTAACCTCTGATGGACTTAAAGAAATAAATTCATGAGACATCTGGTTTCATCCATTTTCACTAAGTAGACTTAGGTAATGGTGTTTTTTTTAAGTTTTAAGTGTCAATGCTGTGCAATATACGTGTATTTCTTGGATCTAAGTAAACACATTATCATGAGTTGAGAAAGTGTCTAATCACCTAAAGTCTCAAATATTCTTTTTTTTCTCCTGACGAGGCAGAGTTTGCCCAAAGTAAATGCAAAAAATGTTTATGCCAATATCGGAGAGGCAAGCAAAACCCGTCAGGGCTACGGTAAGCGTAAAGCAAGAAACCTTTCCTAAAGCCTACTTAATTGATGATAACAAAGTTACTGTCAACCATTTTATTTTCTGTAAACATCAAAATATGCCAAGAAAAGTAAGCAAATGAAGGATAAATTGTCGAACACATTCACACTGAAACTGTATTGAGTTCGATTTCACCTCCGTTGTGTAAGACATTGTATCTTCAGGAAAGATACCTGACCGCCTCTGTTCTCACAGCTGTCAATGGATACATGATAACTGGCAGAGACAGGGTATTTGAATGGCTGCAGTACACCATTAACAGAGTTCCACGTTGTGTTCTCTCGGGGAATTGAACTATAATTATTACTCTGGAGTAAACAGGACAACCATGTATTTTATTTATTTGAAGTTGTGTAAGCATTTATTTGTAAGGAAAGACGGATAAGATAATCACTTCAATCATTTTTAAAAAGAAGCAAAACAATAAACAACCTTGTCGAGGTCTGGCTCAATATTTTGGACACTGGAGACAACGAGGCATGGGAAACAAAGTCTAATGCAACAAAATCTATCGTGAACCTTTCGAACGTTTCTCAAAATTATTCAACCGAACAAGAATAAGTACAACACAAAACAGTCGGAGGATTAGGCAACTCGCGCTAGTGCGGTGGGTCTCAACGTTCATGTTTATAACGAAACGGGAAATAGAAATCATGTCTGATGTCAGACTTAAACGAATGTTTGGAGGTACATATCAGGAACTCGTGATTGTGGCTGGCACAATTGAGACCTTGGGAGCGGCGAGGCAAAGAAGACATTCATGATGAGCAAAAATACTGACAAATCAGGAAGACAAATTGCAGTATGTCATGGGGGGGGGGGGGTCATCTTCTCAGGTCACTGATTCAGCAGACCCTTCTTTTATCTTGTTGGATTTTCAAGAGTCATCTTCCTTCCCGTTACTTACATTAGAAACCAACAAAACCTGGGTCCTAATCAATACGAGCATTGAAGAGTACACCTTCATACCCTCCCATTCTCTTCATGAGCAGGAAAGTGCAAACCACTACAAACACACTTTTACCCCTGCAGCACTCCAATAATATCAGTTTGAAACTTTACAAAATTTAAAATCTTTTTGTCCCCTATTCCACGCACATGCCCAAGGTTCGCAAATCGAATTCGGACAGCCCACAAGACTATAGCCACAATGTGAACTCAGAGAATGTAACAACAACAACAACAACAACAACAACAACAACAACAACAACAACATGGTACGTCAACATTAGTATTCCAGAAGCATCAGGCGGAGATAAAAGGGCTGATTTTGTTAAGATTATTTGTTCCCAAATGTTTGTGATTTTACGACAACCAAAAGTAGTGTTGTTATATTGGCGAGTGTCTTTAGCAAGTAGTAAGGTATGGCAAACCACGAGGTTGGAAAAATAAATCGCTTTTACTACTGTGAGTGAAGAAAGTCAGACTCATATTCTCATATTCATCAGCCCCC